AACATAGTTACTAGGTGTACGGTATTTCCAAGATATTTGTATATATTTAGCTGATTATAAAGGTGGATTGTCTGAATTTACATGTTACTGAATTTGAGAATTGTCCTCCGTAAGGCCTGAAAAAGCCTATTAGTATTTCTTGTTTGGCACTTAAATATATTTGTGTGTTTCTGCAAGAATCAATTATACTAGCAATATATCTGAACATTGATAGTCACATATTCTGCTAGTCCTAAAGGAAAGAACGGTGACGAAATTAATGACATGTGTCCCACACATTGGATGTGCTACAATCTATTAAGAAGAGATAAATGCAAAGGAGGTAATACAGCACAGTATGATCACATTAGGAAGTCTGAGGAGAAATGATTTATTTCTACTGGGCGAACTCTTGAGGAAGCTTCCTAAATGATGATGATACTCGAGCCAGTTCTTGAAAGATAAGCAATGATTTGCCAGGGGGAAAAAAGAGAGGGTAGGACATTTCAGGCAAAGACAGTAGACAGATGTCCAAGACAGGAGAGATGTCAAAACATTATGTAACTGGAGAGTGTGTGATTCTGAGGGGTAGGAGGCATGAGTTGTTGAGTAGTGGCCAAGATTTGTTTGTTTGTTTTCACTCCATAATGGAAGGGGAAATTGATTTTCTGAGCAATGAGGTGCTGTCAGGTTTAGAAGATTTCAGATATGTACTTCAGTATGTCATCTGGCTAAATTATGGAGAACAGAGAGATTCTGCAGAGAAGAGGAGGGGAGAAATTCTGCTGACAAAAGGATCCATAGGACTCAGTAACAACAAAAGTTTTTGAAAAAAAAAAGATGTTTTAGATGTTAGTATAAGAAAATGATGTGTGTCTTTTACTTTTTTGTAATAAAAACAGTACTCTAGGGAATATAAGACTTAAGCCCATCTTGAAGTTTTGTGGCAAATGTTAATGACGAAGAAGCAAATACACTTGTGGTTCTAGACAATTTTACAAGTAAAGTTGTAAATTTTTTAGTGGCTTTGTTTTAATCGCTTTTGTTATATATATACATATATATATATATATATATATAAAGATTTTATTTATATCTTTATATGAGAGAGAGAGTGAGAGAACACAAGCAGGGGGAGTGGCAGAGGGAGAGGGAGAAGTAGACTCCCCACTGGGCAGGGAGCTCCATGCAGGGCTCCATCCCAGGACCCTGAGATCATGACCCAAGTCAAAGGCAGACGCTTAACTGACTGAGCCACCCAGGTGCCCCTCATTTTTGTTATATATCAGGTGTTGTCTTTTAAAAATCTTTAACACCATAAAGAAGAAATGATAGCTGTTCTTTCATTTATTTAACGCATCCTTCACTTTGTGGCAAAAATCTTTGAGGACAAGAAAACTTTTTTCTTAATAGGGCTAAAGTCAAAGCCTTGTGTTTCTATTTAACTTATCTGAATAATATTTTAAAAGGTTTATTGACAATTCATATTTTTTTCCTTAAGTATTACCCGTATAGAGAAGATTAATCACTTTGAATAGACAAGTTGACTTTGAACATAGGATTTTAGAATTAAAGACCTACTAGAGCCAATAGCCTCATTCAACAGAGGAGGAATCTGAGGGGCCAGAATTTGATTTGTCTGAATTAACATTACTAATTTGATGCCAGAACTGATATTGAAAGACAAGTGTTGGAACTCTTGGTTCAGTCTTTTTGGTATTTTCCATTTCTGCAAAAATGATCAGCAAGAACTTTCTTTATGATTACTACTGAATGTTTTGAAATGCACAAGAGTGATTTTCATGTTATTTTATTGTATTCTAGTTATTTGGAAATTAGTAAACATATAAATTTATATAGCCATTATCTTTTCGCTAGAATATTTAAAAACTGGAATACCCATTTTCTTCCTCCATACAAATGTTCTTCCCTCACTAAAGGGCAGCCATTCAGTATCACTTATTGGTGAGTTTAAGTTACCTTAATTTCTTAGTATTATTATTTCTCTGTCTAAGTTGATTATTTCTAGTATGTTATTTTTAAATTTTTTTTCTAGTATGTTATTTTAAGCAGAATTTTGTCATGAAGTTCAATAATTGAAGGATTTTTCTTGTGGAATTAGTTATTTAAAAAATCTATTAAACTATATTAACAGCTCTATATCTGAACAGTATTTTCAGATTATCTGTTAGCTAGATAGGTATATTTTTTAAAGCATTTTTTTTTCAGCTGAAGGCTCTTGTGATTATTTTAGAAGATAATCATTTAGCTATAATGCATATCAATTATTAGAATACTTGGCTAAGATTATACAATGGGATGCCTAAAACGGCTAAGGGTTTTACAAAGTTATACTTGGCTTCTCTGTGGTGTCGGTGAGATCTGAAAATTGACTTTAGCAGAAAGAAGCCAATGAATTCCTCTGAAGTCAGTTTATATCATTTACATTAAGGAAATTATGAAATGCATATTTAGATCTACTTCGCCTTAACAATGGGGTTTTCCACTGAGAGTAAACATTTTGTTTTGAGAATGACATAAATCCAAGGGCCCTGAAAAAAAATGTTAACATAAATTTTCAATCACTGCATCATTATCATTAATACTTTATATGTAAATAGGAGTTCATAAAACACATTTAAATAACAGTTTATAACCTTTGCTACCTACCAAGAAATTTGGCGATGGCATCAATAACACTGAGAGGAGTTGAGGTTAAAATGCGTACAGCCAAGGGAAGTAATTGGTATTGACAGCCATTGTCAATGGCTACTGTTATTGAAACTGCAAGTTGGAACATGTGGATTTGATCCTTTGCACACAAAAAAGTTCACAAAAACTGCTTTTCATAGCTTTTATTCTGTAGTACTTCTTGGTGGATCATATATTAAGTTGTTATAAAATCCATGTGAACTTTTATGTATACAAATGTCATATCAAGTACAGGTGTCATTAATTATGTATATTTTAAACATCCATCAATAAAAAAAACAGAGGCCAAGAAGTTAAATATAATAAAAAATGAAATATTTATTCTTTTGGCTCAATAATGACGTAGCTCACCATTCTTTTTAGTAATAGCAATTCCCTGCATGCAGTTCATTAGTACACTACAAGTAAATAGTTTTGTAAAAGGTTAACATTAAACTTTTGGTTTGTGCAAAAAACAAAAATTTATATCATGTTAGGTAATTGCACAACTTTGCCACTTTGTTCATGGCTAAAAAGGACAGAGCCCATGTTATTCCTCTAATAGCTCTAGTGTAGCAAGAATTAAAAAAATAAGACTAGTCTGCATAAGCAAATACTACAAAAGTTTGAGTAAAAAAAAATTTCCATGAATAATGGGTAATATTGAGGCAATCATAGTTGGTAAAAAATGATCTAAGTTTGAATATTGACCAATGTATCTCCTATTGGAATGGTAGAAAATATATTATAACAAAGAAATCCACAAAACCCATTGTCTAACCTTTATTTTAGGAAATTATTCATTGAAAAGTCTTATGGATTCAAAAGTTTGGAGTTGTGATTAAAAATAAAAAGCAAAAGCATAAAGTAAAATAAATTGCCATGTCATCAACCTGAAAATAATTTTCTTATGTACAAAATGCAACAAATAAAATTGATCATATTTTTACATTATTTATATTTAAACAAGTTTTGGACATATTTTTAGCAAAATATGAAGTATAGGTTTTGACAATAGGCAGTACTCAGTGTGTTTCTTTGAAATATAGAGACACCATGTGACACTCAAGTTGAATTAAAAATGCAAAAGTAAAGGTACTTTTAAGTAACTGCAAGCTATTCTGCTTGACATACTGGATAGAGCGGTTTGAATTCACTCTACCAACATGTGACTTCTAACCAAGGCTTGTGAAGAATGTGTTGAGTAAAATAGAGCAGCATAGGCAATATTAACATGCATTAGTGATAGTCTACGAACTATTTATGTTTAATGAATGGTACAGGATACATCCCTGTTGGAAGCTTGCAAAAGACACATACACTGTGGTACATATTTGATTTAATAGATGTTGTTTAGCAGAATATATATATATATATATATATATATAATATGTATTATATATATATATATTCCTGCCCAAACATGCACCACTGGATAAAATAACTATTTACATAACTGGGTGTGTTGAATTGACATAAAATATCAGCTTTGCTGAGAGTAGAAGATGGCAAAGCAATACTGCAGCAGAAAGTGGGACAACTATTCTAAAGTGACACTTTAGATATATTTTTTCTAGATTTTTTTCACTTTGTTTTTGGAAAGCATTTAACCAAATTAAATATAGAGCTCTGGAACTTAGAATAAAATTTGCACTTTTGGAAACAATATTTGCATAAAAATAATCCTTTAAAAATTACAGGGGACTTTACAGGCACATAACTGTTCAGATATAAACAAATGTAACAGACTAAAACACTTTCAAAATTAAAGCCATCTAGAAAATGGAAGTACCTGAAATTATTGATCTTAGAATATTTTTTTCTGGTTTTGAGCACGAATTTTATCTCTCAAAACACTTTTGCTAATTATTCGAGAGACTTATGGAGTAGGAACACAGGGCTCTTATATGCTTTTTTCTCAACTTGCATTTACAAAAATAGTGACATAGTATTATGAATAAACTATGAATTAGGGAGCAAGGAAATCCACTAGAACAAATTTTGTAAAAATATGGCAGATATGGAAGTTAAAAATAGAGTGGATGCAAGTAATGTACTAAAGGTGTTTGGTGTAGTTACAGCGATCACTTTGCACAATTATCCCTACAGTCTAGATAGCCATTGAGTTTCTCTTCAGCAGTGTCAGCTGGTAATGAAAACAGCAACCTCTTGTCAATCTTGTTGATACCCTGACTCACAGAGTTGTAGTGATGGAGAGGTCACTGTCTTGTTATAGGCACTGACCATGAGTATTTATTAAAACAGTCAGTTTGGCATAGACCTCCTCTGGGAGTCCAGTTGACACATAGACTTTACCATCGTAGGCTGTAAACAATTGATCACAAAGATAATTCTTTGTTTCTTTTTTACTTTTGATTTTCCCTGACCTCTTTCCCTTTGCTTTCTTTTTCCGGTTTGTCTTTCTCAAACTTTTCTTTGTCTGGCTTTGTTACACTATCATAGGAAGGAGGAGATGTGGTAGAGGAACTTCCATCTGTTTTCTCTGGGGTGGAGTTTCCATTTAATTTGTCAATAATCATGTCTTCTTTGATAGGTAAGTCAATCCTTCCTTTAATTGCCTCTTTGTTATATTCACTTGATACCTTTTTTAACCTTTGTCTTAAAAGATAACATCTGAAATTACGCTGAATGATAGCAGCAGACACCTCTTCTTGTTTGCGTTTTAAAGTGGTTGTGATGGGTTCATAGGAAACTTTGGAGGGGTTCGATGCCATGAACCGGTCTTCCATCTGTATTCGAAGGGCATCCATCTCTCCACTCTCACCCAAAACACGCTTTGTAAAGGCAAATAAAATGTCGAGGCAGTGGATCCGGTCCCCACTGACCATGGGCAGGTCCATGGCGATGAGCTGGACTTTGTTTGGTTTTGCTATGAGAAGAGGAGGATCCAGGGCAGCTGCAAAATCAGAGAGCTTGGAGAACTCTATAAACTGGGTGGCGTCGGGATCAAACTTTTCCCAAACCTCGTAGAACATCTCAAAGTCATCCTCACTCAGGGGCTCGGCACTTTCTTCAGTAGCAACACTGAAGTTCTCCAGGATGACAGCGATGTACATGTTCACCACAACCAGAAATGATATGATGATGTAACTGACAAAAAAGAAAATCCCGACAGATGGGTTCCCACAGTCTCCCTTAACTGAACTTCCAGGGTGAATTGTATCAGGATCACAGTCAGGCGGTGCACTGTTGAGAATAGGTGCTAGCAATCCGTCCCAGCCAGCAGAGGTGGTAATTTGGAACAGGCAGATCATGCTGTTGCCGAAGGTCTCAAAGTTGAACATGTCATCAATTCCAGCTTCCTTTTTAACATAGGCAAAGTTGGACATTCCAAAGATGGCGTAGATGAACATGACCAGGAAGAGCAGGAGGCCGATGTTAAACAAGGCAGGAAGGGACATCATCAGAGCAAAGAGCAGCGTGCGGATTCCCTTGGCCCCTTTGATCAGACGCAAGATTCGACCAATCCTGGCGAGCCGGATCACTCGGAACAGGGTAGGGGACACAAAGTATTTTTCTATCAGCTCAGCCAGAAACATACCTATAGAAAAATATAGAAATCAGCTAAACAGTGAATATTTTATGTTTATATGAATGCTTTATCTTTGCAAGGTTTATGATAACAGCAAGATTGTTATGAGTATAAACTTTTACTAAATATTTGGGTCCACTCCTTAATATTAGTAATTAAAGATTACAGAATTTTACTAAATGATTCTATAACGTTATAAACCCAATATAGATTTTTGGAAAAGCCAACAAATTAAATAATCTCAGAGTGTCATGGCAATTTAAGATTATATACACTCATTTACTATGGAAAGTTATCCCCACACACGAAATGTGCTGATTACAAACAAAGATTATTTCTGAAATCTCTAAATATATTGTTTGCTATTTTTGAATACCTACATTCTTCAGTTAGAGGAAAATGAGCAGTAGTGGTAAACTTTAGAATTACACATTAACATTCTCAGATCTCATTTCCGTGTTGCACAGCTGTCAGGCTTTGGGGAGCTTTACCTACAATGGTACCTCTCTGTAATTAAACTATTCTTACCTACAATGGAGAGAATCACCACCACAAAATCAAATATGTTCCAGCCGATGGTGAAGTAGTAGTATCTGAGAGAAATGAGCTTTAGCACAAATTCTCCAGTGAACAGGATAATGAACACAAGGTTGATCCGGGACAAAACTAGAGTCATATATTTGCTCTGGTCATCAGTTTCCACCATCATGGTGACCATGTTGAGGCAGATGAGGATCATGATGCTGATATCAAAGACTTGTCTGGTTACAAAATCAAAGACCATTCCTTGGAATTTGTTCTGGAAAGAGAGGAGAGAGAAGGTTAATATGCATATTTCATAAATAATGATCTAGTAAAACTGCAGGTGAAGTCCTTCATATATGGCCATGAGATATACACCCTTTTCACAGTAGTCCAAACAGTTCTTTGTGCTCCATGTCTCTTCACATTAAAATACGAGAAGGAAATGAAAAAAGTCATATGATAAGAACAAAACATATTTGATATATTTAAGTTTCCTGGGAAGACAAAACTCAGTAAGACATAAATTGGTGGCAATTGGCTATTAATATGCATGGGCTTTGCTTGATTTAAAAAAAATTATAATTTTTACAAGTTTTACAAAAATTATGAAAACATAATGAAGATTTACAAAGTAGGTTGATACAGAAAGACTTTTAGATGGATGACTACCCTAATTCATTTATCAATACTTTAGGAATTTTGGTTTATATATTATATATATTATATATCATATATATGTATATTATATATTATATATTTTTTCCATCTCTCCCTCTTTCAAAATATGTCAGTCATTATCTATTCTACTTCTTCTAACTATGTGTGTCTGTGTATTTGTTATTTATCTATCTTTCTTCATCTGTTCTTTCTCTATGCTTCAACAAAAATGCATGACATTTTTTTTTTGTCTTATTAGCAATCATCTCAGGAGTCACATACACTTATGGTCACTAAATATAGTTCTATTAGGGAAATAAATTTTTAATAATTTAGAATAAAAATATAAAATAAAATTTCATAGCTTACTGAAGATCAGTTTCATGAATTGACCGTTTCCTTCTTTTAAATATATTTAAATGACCTTAAGTAAAGCAGATTTATGGTCTTTTGTGTATCCTGCCCTACCTCCCTCCTTGGTCGCTTCTAACCTCAATTCCAAAACTCTTAAAAATATGGTAAACTGAAGTCATTGATAGGATTCATGAGGGCTTGTTGAGTCCCAGTTCTGGCAATTACAGGCTTTATGACTTTGGGTACGATTTTTGGGGGGCCTCAGCTTCCTTATTCCTCACCCATCTAAGATAGATAAGTTAGAGTACAGCTCTATGAACGTAACCCATCGTTATTATGGCTTTTCATATATTATGAAGCTCTACATAGTATGCATTCTGATTAAGCCTTTTTCTTTTTTCTGTATTTGATGAAACAAACTATTTTGATGATGCCCTTTTCCTTCCTAAGAAGGTTAAGAGTATTTTCTAGTCATACAAATGGAGAGAGCAAATAGTACAGAGGGAAGTGATGGGGTGGGATGGGAGTTTTCCAGACTCCATCTATTTAAATGGCAAGAGAATGCCATGTAACAAGATTGGGTACATTCTTGGAAGCAGTAGGTGGCAGCAGGAATATGAAGGCTGCCTTGGAAGCACTTATTGGGAACCTCAAGTTGGATGTTTTCAATTGACAAACTGTAAAGAGCATTACTTCCTTTTTAAGAACTTAGTAATTCTTATTGAGTGTGGCAGTTGTGAATGGTGTTAAACAATATGAACTTTACAATTAGGGCATATTAGACAGTGGTGATATCACTCAGTATGTTCTCATCCAGAGCACTGCCAATTTCATCATATGGAAATTAAGTTTAGAATATTAAAGAAGATGAGTAATTCTTACTGCTGGTCGAGGTATGGGCTTCTGAGGTTTCTTGGATCCAAGCTTCTTCATTGCATTATAGTATTTTTTCTGTTCCTCTGTCATAAAGATGTCTTGACCTCCAAAGTAAAGATACGGTATAAAACTGGTTATAATCTCAACATGTGTTACAACAGCACGTGTACAAAAATATTTCTGAGTCTTTAGTCTTTTCTCAATTTTTAAATGGATATTATCCCATATATATATGTGAAATTCTGAGGACTTTACTATTATGTAAAACCTATAATCACATAAATCTCTGATTAGTACAGGATCCTAATTTGATTACATTATGTTTAGAAAGAGGCTCAGGCATCTCAAATATATTTTTGTGAAAGAAAAAATGTTTTCTTAGCCCATTTCACTGTTTTCCTTCTTTATTCAATAATTTTAAGTATTTTCCATGTGCTAGAAAATGTAACTGTTATCAAAATTAAATAGATATATGAGACACCAATATCTTGTTGTCATGTGGAGTAGGAAAATGAAAACAGGTGGAAAATGTATAAGGATATATAAAAAAGTATTGCAGATCAAAATAAACCCTGAAGACTCAGAAACAGGCTTTATATAGGACGATACCCTTAAGCTAGGCCTTAACATGATTAGAGGTATGCTAGGCAAAGCATTCCAGGAAAAGAAAATACCCTCTGTAAAGTCATGGAGGTACAAGAGCGTGGCTTGTACAGAAAGGACAAAAAAATCCATGTAGCTGTGTGTGTAACGTGTGATAGTGGTGATGGCAGATATTGACTGAGGAGTAGGGAAGTAGATACAGAGATGTGTTGTGAGAGAAAATGAAGCTAGAAAACTGGGTGGAAATAATTCCTGAAATTCTCCATAAGCAAGGGTGAAGCATTAGGGGAGACCCACTGGATGCTTTGAAGCAGTGGTCACATTTTTTGTCACAAAGACACTATAGCAGCTCTGCAGAGGATGAACCTAGAGAGGAGCCACCAACTAGAGACTGGAAACTCTGCAGCTGAACTGACCTCATAGTGAACTGAAAAGAATATAAAAGTGATCTAAGTCTGTCTTGACTATGAGTATCCTGAATATTTGGCAGTACAACAGACAGAACCTCAGAATGGGGAAGGTTGAGAGCTGAGGAATACTTATCTTCTTTTTCTGTTGGTTGAAGTTATCTATGATTACACCAATGAATAGATTCAGAGTGAAGAATGACCCAAAGATGATAAAGATGACGAAGTATAAATACATATATAGATTTTCTTCATATACAGGCTGAAGTTTTACCTAAATAGTATTGAAAATATTTAATAATATTTAAAAACATAATAAATACTTAAACTAAGTTAACAATTTGGTGAGTGTTGTTAATCTAGAGTTATTTTTGCCTTTCCCTGAGATACTGTTCTGCAAAAAAGTTCTTTTTTCAAACTAGTATGATCTAGGATAATGCAAAGTTTATAATTTTTATGCTTGTTCTTGAATCTATTTTTCCATTGTGGTTTACCTGTACATTTTCTTTAGAGTAAATAACAGGGGTATAACAAGAAATGTTTTGAACCTATTATTAGTTTTATAATTTTTTTTTGCAACATTTTAAATTTGGGTCTGGAGATGTTGGTTCTTGAAGATAAGGCTTTACTAATAGAATATCAGCTTCTAAGAGGAATGCATATATGTTCTGAGGAATTTTTTTTAATTTCTATTTTCAAAATTGAGTTTCCCTGAAACGTGCTTGCTTTTTTCATGGTATTTTTGGAAGTTACTTCACAAACTCTGATTTATCATACTCTCCAGGAATAGGGAGAGGCAAGTTACTTTCTCATGACCAATGTTCTCGATCTTGAGTCTCATTTATGAACCAGTTTGATGTCTTCTGATCCATGCATCTGATACATATTAGATATGCATATCAGACATATATTAATCAAAATATCATCTTTATTGAAATGCATTAACTTAAGAGGATCATTTCTGTATGCAATTATAAATGTCCTGCTTGCATCTAGTATAAAATTCCTGGTCATTCACTTAAATTATTACAAATGTTCACTATGGAAAATTTTGTAACTATAAATAGTATTTGAGTGATACTTACATCTCGTGAATCAACAGCTGCATACATAATATCCATCCAGCCTTTAAATGTGGCCTGTGAACAATACATATTTGAATTCTGCATGAAAACCTAATCCAAGAATGCCATTTTACCATATGAAAATCTGATAAGTGTTACTACAAGTAAGTTCTTGTATGATATAATATAATTCTCTATCAAGAGATTGAAAGGAATTAAATTGAAGTAGAATATGATTGTATTTAGAGTCTGGAATTCATTTTCTTTGTTTCTCTTGGAAGATATTAATTTTTTTCTGCACAAAAATTTAACCAGAGGATTGATTCATAAAATACCCATCTCAGTCTCAAATCCTTTCTATACCAAAATATAAGCTCTGTGATTCAAACCTATAGTGTGTTTAAACACAACTCAATTGTTTTTATTAGTGAATTACTGATTAGTTAATATGTGGTCAATTAAGTCAAAATTATTAAACATCATACATTTTGAAATCTCCATAAGATTCATATTTCTGCAAATGGTAGAACCATACCCCTTAAATGTTAGTACAGTAAATTTTCTGACTAATAATGTATACATTTAATTCATCACTAAAATATGTACATTGTTATTTTAACATATAAAATTGCTCCTTTGGCAATGATTGCTAAGAAAAACAAAAAACAGTGTAGTAGCACTCAATAATATAATAAGAAAAAAACCGGGAAGCAGGAATATAAGGCCATATTAAAACACACTAAAAGCTGAACAACTGGGGAAATACATATTGAAATAACTGCAAAACATCTTAAAGTCAAGTTAAGCTAATAATATAAGTGTTAATCATCAACTACTTTTGTACTGTCAGATATTAATTATTCAAACAAAGAACATCAAAGAAATGATCTTTTGTAAAACATTTTGAAGATGTTTCCAGAACTCATACAGTGGCAACTTACCACTTGAAGCAATGCAAGATAGCCAGCGCCAACATTATCAAAGTTTACTTTGACGTTTTTCCATCGAGCTTGCTTGCCAAGAGCCTGACAGTCGCTCAGATTGTTGACTTCACTAACTTCAAACATGTTACCCGTTGTCGTGTTAACACAGTGGTAGAACTTGCCAGCAAACAAATTCACACCCATGATGCTAAAGATCAGCCAGAAGATGAGACACACCAAGAGTACATTCATGATAGAGGGAATTGCTCCAACAAGAGCATTCACAACAACCTGGAAGAGAAAATGAGGATAAGGCCACTTACAAATCGCTAAAATGAAAACCATTCCTTTCATTTATTTTTTTAATACTAAAATGGGCTTGAAAAGAGTTAAATAAAAATCTAGGTGGATAAGTTGTTTCTCGCAATGTTTTCTAGGACATATTTGATAAGGGAAAACAAACAGTGACACAACTAGAGAGCTAAAGGATTTAAGGAAAGCAAAATATGCCAAAGTGTGAAAAGAAATAAAAACCTGATATAGTAAAGATGGAGTCAGAAAATGTTTGTATGCTGGGGAGAAAAGAAAAAAAATGCATTAAATACCAACAGAAGAAATAATCGTCATTCAGCAATATATTTTAGTTTTCAAGAGTGTTAATGATTGATGATTTGAAAACACGGTTAAACAAACCCTTTGCAAAAAAAGTATTAATAATGCCTTAAATCTGCCTTCTCAGATCAAGTCAACTTTTTATAACCATAAAGAATAGGGCTAAGAATTTACAAGGTTCTTTTTTTCTCTTTTGGTAAATCCCAATTTAAAAAAGTATATTAAATGAAATGTATTTATCTCTGGACATAAAAATACCAAATATGTCCTCATTATTATTCTCAATCTCTCAAATGTTCACTTTGGGGTACATGTTACTTCATCAACCTAAGCTGACCTGTTTCATGAAGGAGAAATTAAGTTACCTATCCTCTTATTAAATTCAAAAGCTTAAGATGTGTTTTGAAATCCCTAGGGAAGTTGACAGTATCTTTTCTTGTCTAATTTAATCTGATTCATATTGGACTCTTTTGTTAAGCATTTATGTTAAATGAAACTATTGTTTTATTTTAAAATGATGTAAACGTTATGTTAGAAATCAACACCCAAAATTTTTAAATTGACATCAAATCCTGAAATCCAAAAACGTAAAAATTTCATATGCTACTTGAATTTTATTTCTTTTAGAAATTAAGTTATATATATTATACTTGCCATATTTCTTTGTTACTAAAATCTGTGTAAAATGACCTCTACAAATTTTCTTATCAAATGACTTCATGATACATTTTACTGTATTTCATAGCTGGAACATTAACTCTGTCATAGGATTGAATTAAAAATACCAAACAATATTTTTTCAGATGACAGCAAATTTATTTATAAGTTTCTTATTTTGTTCATTGCTATCCTCCCTCAAAAATTGTTAATGTGAAACCATGCAAGCAAATGAGGGCTTATGTAGTGTCAGTAATGGCAAAGATTGGTCGAATAGAACTTGAAATTGTATAATAATTTTTATGAATTTTATCTTGTGACTTTTTTTCATCAAGTGGCACTGAAATGAAATTAGAATGTAAAACCAAATATTTCTTTGCTTACAATGCTTCTGGAGAGTCTGGAGAGTTGTTTCATTCTCCCTGATGAGTGAATCTCTAAGTCAAGGCTGAAGTGTTTTTATTGCTCTAAACAAACCTAACATAAAAGCCTTATGGCCAGGGAGAAATTCAATATCCATGTGCATTTGCATGCTGTATTAAACAAACCTGGCCTTTTTTTTTTTTTAAAGATTTTATTTATTTATTTGAGAGAGAGAGAGAGCACTTGAGAGGGGGGAGGGTCAGAGGGAGAAGCAGACTCTCTGCCAAGCAGGGAGCCCAATGTGGGACTCCATCCAGGGACTCCTGGATCATGACCTGAGCCGAAGGCAGTTGCTTAACCAACTGAGCCACCTAGGCGCCCCAAACCTGGCCTTTGCTAAATAGTATTTTGAGGGATGTGACAAGTGGTTGTGTATCTAAATAAGTGTGTACTTTATGTGTAGATGCATAAAGTATACACTAAAGAAGAGCTGGAAAATAAAGATGAAAATACACATGCTATGGAAAAAGTGAAACTCATTCAGAATGCTCGCTTGAAAGGGCAATCTTTAAAACAAACCCCAGGGGTTTCCTGAAATGCCTGGTTAATTATTCTAACCCCTTATTTTGGTTGCTTAGGATGTATAGATTTTATCAGAGGCTACAATTTAGAGTTGTTTTCCTGTACAAGTATTTTTTTTTACTGATATCAACTGAAGAAGTAAAGCCCGCAAAAATCATTTACCTTTCATTCATTACCAGTGATTTTTGAGGAATCAAACCTCCTAATGGGAGGAAGAAAAACCCCTACGAGGATGAATGTCAGTAGTAAAAAATCATTTAAATATGTATAAGCAATGAAAAGAAATAAATGGCAGTACATGTTTTTTTGGATGTTGTGGAAACATCTTTAACTATCATCAGAAGACTTGGATTCCAGTCCTACTTCTGCCACAAACAACTTCTGAGGACCCGTTGAAATAAACCTCAATTTCAGGCCGCTGGCCTTAGTGATATCTAAGATTCCTGCTCTGAAATTCTGTAATTCTATGAAGTAAATATCAGAGGAGTATGGTACCCCTCTGTATCTAAATCATTACCTACATTTAATTCTGATATGAATCAGAGAGCTTTTGTTCTTCTTACCCTCATGCCTTCAAACCGGGATAAAGCTCTTAGAGGTCTTAAAGCTCTTAATGTCCGTAGGGATTTAATGGCACCAAGTTCTGAGTAGCCGAGAGCATTGGCTACCAAGCTAACCAAAGAAACCTGCAAAAAGAAAAGATATGAATAGTTCACCTAGAAATAAACTGTCTACTAAAGGCATAGGATGTGGTGTCTACTCTTTAGTACCAACTAAATGAAATTCAGACATATCTTGGCTCAGCCTTCATCTTCCACGTAGTGAGTTCATCTTATATTGCTGGCCTCATTTCATGTTATTGCTCTTCTTACCAATGAAAACAATCTTTACCCATTTTTATAAACATGTAAACCATTCCAGTTAGATATTTCACCCCATGGAATCCCTTTCAACCTGTGCATATATCACTGATGAGTCAGGATTTGGTTCAATAGCCAGATCCTCCATGGCTCTATTAATATCATTGATTGGAAATCAGGTTTCTCTCCTGAACTTATGTAGTATCTTGGTTATGTGTACTGGAGGCATTTCCCATTTAATAGAATCAATTGATTAGATATCTTCTTTCCCCTTCCTGGTCACATAAACTTTTTATGGGCTGGGATGAAACATTCTTCTCTTACTGTGCCTAACAGTGTCTGGTTAAATATGCTTTAGTTAATAATGTGTTGGATCAATAAATAATGGAATAATTTTACCTGAAAAAAATGTTATCAGACCATGTTGTAGTTTCATAATAATGAAGAAATGTTTATCCAAACTTCTGGACTTATAATTCAAAGTGATAATACATCTTCTGATATTTACCCATATACTAAATTTTACTTAAATATATGAAAGGTTAAAGAAGACATGCCCTTTTTTGAGAGGAAGAGACTTTATTTGCTTAGATTTTCTTTCAATATAACATTTATTGAACATTTACTGTATGCAGGGTTCTGTTCTAAGTGCCTTATGCATATAAATGTTAAGAGGTAGATACCATTACTATTGCCTCTTCACTGGTGAGGGAGTTGAGCCCCCCTCATCCCACCCCCAAGAAAAGGGGTGGATGGTAATAAGAGGTGAAATTGGGTGGATCTTGAACCCAAGTGATCTGACTTCAAAACCATATCTTAACCGTTTGCATACATTATCAAAAATTTGTTCCTCATCTGAACCACAAAACACAGAAAATGGTTTAAGTGACTATCTTTTCAGTTCTTGCAAGGATTGTACAAAGGTAGTACTTTCCTTGATGCATAAAGAGGAGTTAATTCATTATATCCACTGGATGGTTTAAAGGCACTGGGGCTTAATTTTTTGCAATAAGGGCTGTTGAAAATGGATCTAAATGAATCCTTGTGATGGTAGGTTAGAGACTGATCTGTCCAAGAACACATGGTTTAAAGGGTGACATAAAAACTAGAACTGAAGCTTTAAAGGCAAATGGAGCCAGTCTTTCCTCATTGTTTAATTTAGCATACATCTCAGAGAAATTTTTTTAGAAGATTTATTTACTTGACAGAGAGAGACACAGCGAGAGAGGGAACACAAGCAGGGGGAGTGGGAGAGGGAGAAGCAGGCTTCCCGCAGAGCAGGGAGGCCAATGCAGGGCTCTATCCCAGGACCCTGGGAACCAGACCTGAGCCGAAGGCAGACGCTTAACTACTGAGCCACCCAGGCGCCCCCATCTCAGATAATTTAACAGAAAAATAAATGACTAGTGGCAGGATAATTTATTGAGCTAGTCATTTCTGTCTTCTGTTCGCTGCTGCAGAAGACTGGAAAGATGGGAAAGGTTATTCGAGAACATGCAGGCTTCTATGTTTTGGGCTCCTTTGCCTCAGAAACATTAACATCTTCTTTAGGCTTCTGGACCTCCTTTTGGAAGGAAGATCTTTTTCTCTCATGCTCTCCCAAGTCCTTTATTTGAGAACTGGGCATTTAAAGGGAAGTGGCTGCAAATTCCTCACAACCTGAAGTAAGGAAGTTTATGGTTTGAAAAGAAAAGAAAGGCAATGGCCAAAATCAGATGGATAGGAAATTCGGGATTCAAAGGCTGGGAGACCCACTTGCATATAACCACCCCTCAGTGGGGTGACTCTGTGAGTGCCTAGAGAAGTGGGGCCTTAGTGAACTGAGCTTCTTTTAATAGACCTCATTCTGTTTTGTGTAGGATGAAAACTCATTTATTGAGTTAACTAATGCAAAAAAATATATACCTTAAAGGCAATTTTGAAATAAATAATTTTAAAGATTTGCAATGTACTTAAAATTTGAAGATACCAACACATATTGGTAGTGTTTTTATTTATTATTTCTGTCTGAGAGTGGTTAAATGACTAGTCTAGGAGAAGGTAGCAAGGGGCAAGACCATAACAAGAATTTATGTCTTCTGTTTTCTAGTCCAGTGTGTTTTCCACCTCAGCAAACATGTCCCCAACCTTTCAATGTATAGTATTTTTATCCTCATATCTTATGTGCGAAACATAAAAGGCACTCTTGCTAATGTGTGCAAGTGTAACAGAAGTCCTTTGACAAAGACCGAATTTTTAGTATAAATTTATATGAATCTAGGTGTCTCACAATATAGCAAATATATAAAACTCTCTGTTTTAGAAGTTTCAGGGGGATGGTTTAGTTGTCATCCACACCTTTCTGCATTCTTATGGCAGTGAGACTGAGAAAGAGAAATAATGCAGGCAGGATTTGATGGTTCTGAAGAAGACCCTAGGAGTTCTTTGATTGCTTAATGAACCACATAATATGAATGTATTTCTCTTTAAAATGGCTAAAGATAATTTTTTTAAAGTTCAGTATGAGCAAGTTGAAATAAAAACCATGTAATCATTTCCATGCATTCCAGTGATACATTTCAATCCAAACACTTGCATAAATTTTGATGGCAAAATCTAGAAGCATTCTCATTAAAGTGGGCTAAAAGACTATGCCCACTACCAGTGTTATTTTTTTAACATTTTCTGGAAAAAGAAATAAGAGCTATATGGATTTGAAAAGTAGAAGAATTCAATATTTGCAGATATATTATTGTTGACCTCAAGAAAGGAATAAAGTGAAATACTACTATAAGCAATACTGTAATTATTTTAGGTGGTAACCAATAATTTTTTTCATATATTTTTTAAAAAGTTGTGTAGGAATCTTTTGGAACTACATAAATTTTAAAATATTAACATGAAAAAGTATAACTTAAAATATTATTTTAAGAAGAACAGAGAGGACTGACCCCACCAGATATTAAAACCAATTATAAATCTGCAATAATTAAAGCTCTCATATTAGTAGACAAAGAAGTTAGTACACAAAGTCCAAATTAGGCCTAAGACATGCTAAGATTTAGCATGTAGATAAAGGCAGCATTTCAAATGAGAAGTGAAAAAAATAAATGAGAAACCATTTTGAGGAAAATAATATTGGATCCTAACCTCACACTTTACACCAAAATAAATTTTGGACTGATAAAAAATTAAAATATAAAATAAAAATGGATGAAGAAACACAAACAAAACTCAAACTGTAAAACTGGGGAAAAACCTGGAAAAATGTTTTAATAATCTTGATATGAAAGGGTCTTCAGAAGCATGAACAAACCAAGAAGGGGAAAAAAATGTGACTGATAAATTTGACCAAATCAATGTGAAACATTTCTTCATGACAAAAAACAAAGAAACAGAAACCCAAATAGGAAAAACAATCATATAATCTGTGACAAAATAGCTTATTTTTAAATATTACTTGTTTACCTCTTTACTGTTTATTCCTTCCTCCCACAAGGTGTAAGCCCTAACAGGGCTTGGCCTGTTCATGTTCATACCTCTTTTATTTAAAATGGCATATGGCCCTTTTTAGGTGCTCAACACATTTATCAAACAAATGAATGAATGTTAGGAGGTTGGATAGATATCCCATTGCAGTCTACTTTTACTTTTAGGTAAGGAATTGAAGAGATTACGTATTTTACACGGATAAATTTTTCAAGGTTTGAAGCATATTCCTTCTGGTTTGAAGTACTTCACTTATACCTCAGATTTTTTTTCCCCCTTGGTAAGCTTTTGGTAGCTTTTTAGTTTTTTTACATCAATATACCTGATGGACTGGTGAAGCTCTTTTAAGTATGTTTTACTTGTACTTTCAAAAACAGTTTTATCTCTACAATTACTGAGGTTATATTAATCCACATATTTCGCCCTGGCTTTGTAAAGAAGAATAGACTCATTTAAGGTAACGTAACCTGTCCCAAAGTAGAAGGCTTTAATTACCTAGTTTAAGTCTACTAATTGAGACTCACTAAAAAGGAAGTAATTTTTTTGGCACATTCTTTGAAATTAAATCTATTCATTTAGATATTATTCAATAGATACTTAAGAATCTATATTAGGTGTATCTAAGGATACAAATAGGCTACAAAACCCCTGCTCTTGAGAGATTTTTGCATCTTACTCATATTTTCTATATGGGCCAAATATATGGAAATACTTGAAGTACAGTGTAGTATTTCAGTAAATGTAAAATTTTTAGTAAATGTAAATATTTCAGTAAATTTCAGAATTTTCTGGAGAAGTTCTGTCACATTTGTAAATGATCTTCATGTATGACAAAATCTTTCTGAACCCAAAAGGATTATTAATATATTCAATGTTCCATTATTTCAGGGAAAAGCTGGAGATTATAAATGCTGAATCCCAAAGCCAGTCTGAAAATAGAGTATTACATTTATAATAGTTAGATAGGAAACCCCTGGAGTAAAGAAGAACTGAATTGAGAATTAGGAAATTTGGACACTAATCTCAGCTTTGTTACTACATAGTTGTGTTATCTTAGGAAAATTATTTAAACTGAGGCTTCAGTTTCCCTAATGTCTAGAATAAAGCCTTAGATATTCTTTGAAGCTCATTCCAGCTTCAGATTATAAGAGTATTAAACTTCCCTTTATGGATAGCTTTTCAGGATAACATCAAAATTGACCTCTATTATCCATTAAAAGCCAACCATGGAAATTGGAAATCATTTCTGGTCTATTAAATGACTTGGTAGCGGATTTCTTATCAACTCAAAGGGTTAAACACATTTTTGGTTATAGCACTCTAAGTGTGTATGTGTGTGAGAAAGGGGAGTAGAATTTAGATAGGCCCGTACTTGTCAAAATGATAAAAAGAATGAATGTACACATACAGCAATTAGTGATTCTTATTGGTAAGTGTTAGAGCTAAAAATAAAGTGCTTTATGATTGCTAGGGAATGGCTAGAGATAGTGCTTAAAGTACCTGGTTTTATTGGGAGGCTGTGAAACCTTGTGCAATGGAATATCACAGAATACAAAGAACCAGATGACTGTCATTTTGCCCCAGTGCTTTTTCATTGCTTGGAATAAGAAAATAAGATGCAAGTCAGACAGATCCTATAATTGGTAATGTTTTTATGACTACTCACCCCAGGGTAATCAGATTCAGAGTAGGGCTCCTACACCTAACTCTTTGCATGGTAAATTTCTGAATAACTACTGGGATATCTAACTACTGATTTAAGAATGGAAATGTATTTTATTGTCTCTCTGGGTATGTGACCGAATGAATACAGTAAATGGGTTATTTTAACATTATTTAGTAACAGGTACTCTAGTAAGGGATTAAAATGCAATCTTGCAATTCCTGGGCCCAAATCTGTCTTTTTTTTTTTTTAGAAGATTTTATTTACTTATTTATTTATTTGAGAGATATCAACAGAGCAAGAGAGAGCACAAGTGGGGAGAGGGAGAAGCAGGCTTCCCGCTGAGCAGGGAGCCCGATGCAGGACTCAATCCCAGGACCTCGGGATCACGACCTGAGCCGAAGGCAGACGCTTAACCAACTGAGCCACCCAGGAGCCCCAAATCTGTCTTGATTTTATCTCCTGGAGTTGTTTTTTTTTAAATGTAACTGTTAATAGCTAAGTGCTTAGATCTGTCAACAGATTTTTAGCTATTCCCTACCTTGAGGTCCTTAACTTTCAGGAAAAGAACTGTCTGCTTGTGGCATAGAACACTCTGTGTTTTCCTTACCACTGTCCATGTTTTTAGGACCTCTTCTACCATTTCCCATGAAACTTTCCTAATTTTTATGTTTATTGTAGTTTTTTTTTTAAACTGCATAGTTGTGTCAGCATTGGTGAAGCTAGGTTCTCAAAATCAAGGTTTTAATCAGGAATATATGAAATCTCAAACTTGCCTCTTTAAAAAATAATTTCATAAAAATCACTCAGGATACTTACATCAACAATCAAGAAATCTAGCCAGCACCAGGCATTGGTGAAATATGTTTGAAATCCATAAGCTACCCATTTGAGGAGCATTTCCAGAATGAATATGTAAGTGAAGACCTTGTCAGCATATTCTAGTATGGTTTTGATAGTCTTTCGCTGTTCAATGTATATATCTTCAAAAGCCTGCAAATCAAGAAATGCTTTTATTTTACTTGAATGGCTGGCCTTCCCCAAATACTTGATAAAATTGCTTAGTATGATATTGGATACAAAGCAGTAATTTGATAAATATTGGCTAATATCTGACAAACACCAGACAAAAGCTGAAGACTAAAACTAACAGAAAATGTTGGCAAGGAAATGTCCGTATCTTTACTGACTTAGTATGTTCTTTCTTTCCTGTCTCTCACCCCAGATCCTCTATCTCAATTAACTGCCAAAAAGACATGCTTTTAGAGAAGTAATATGAACTCAGGAAATAACTAGAAGTTCTGTTAATGGGGGATAGACTTGGCCTATTCCGATATTACTTTCAATGATGCCCTGACTGATCTGGCTTATTTTGAAAGAGTAAATTGATTATACATAAAGAAAACAAAATACAGTTTTAGTCCATAAATGTTAATATAATTATTAGGGCGAACTGGATGGTATTTGACATGGAAGTTAACATCGTTACAGAATGTCTCTGTAAATGGTTGTCTCAGTGAGGGAAACATCTATTAGATAAACACCAGATGAGAAATTCCATCTGGCTGTTCATAGTTCTGATTTATTATGTACTGAATTTTGCAGTTAAACCCTGGGTGCCATGCTCTGCCCGGCATAGATATACCTCCTCTTTTGCATCTTAAACTCATTGTCTCTTTGTGATATTTTCAGAAAATAAGTTATTTCACTAGAACCTGACTCTTACCACTTTGCATTTCACTTACCAAAGCACCGCTGCTGAGAAGAATCATGAAGACAATGAAAGTCTCAAACCAGTTGTGTTCAACAATGCTGTAGCAGGTTTTCCGAAGATTCCACCAGACCTTTCCTTTGCCCTCTTCTATACTTACTTGACAGAATGGAAACTTTTTAATACATCCTAAAATATAACATTAAATATAAGAAATTAGAAAAAAATATATTTTGTACAACATATGGATTCAACAATCGCATACATACTAAGTGCTCACCATAGTAAGTGTAGTCACCATTTGTCACATACAAAGTTATTACAGTATTACTGACTGTATTCTCTTTGCTATACTTTTCATCTCCATGACTTATCTTAAAACTGGAAGTTTGTACTTATTAATCCCCTTTATCTATTTTGCCCATCACCCTACCCACCTTCTTTGCTTTCCCACCCACCTCCACCTTTCCTAGAAAATATATTCTAATCTTAGATAGGAAAAAATAAACTTTGTTGCTTTCTCCCATGCCAATCTCAGCTCATCATTTACAGGGTAACTGGCTACTTCATTCCTTAGTTATCTTCAGCATCCTTCCTATCCAGTGAATCATTCTCAGAGGTATATATTTAGCCAAGCACCTAAAATTCAAGGAATAACTTTATCAAGAGTTGCATGAGTATAAATAGTTTCTTTCTTTTTTTTTTTAACTCTTGTTTTTTTGGTGATAAACCTTTTTTTTTTAAGATTTTATTTATTTATTTGACAGAGAGAGAGACAGCAAGAGAGGGAACACAGCAGGGGGAGTGGGAGAGGGAGAAGCAGGCCTCCTGCCCAGCAGGGAGCTCGATGTGGGGCTCGATCCCAGGACCCCGGGATCATGACCCGAGCCGAAGGCAGACGCTTAACCGACTGAGCCACCCAGGTGCCCCTAAATATTCATTTTTAACACTAGTTAGAATCTCTTTTTGCCTCAAGGCCATTGGTGGAAATAGGGTCTAAGAACACCTCTCAGGTTTGGGGAAAAGCTGCATGTTCAAATTGTTTATTAATTTTTTGATGTGATCCTGAATTTTTCACTTCCTTCTTTTCATGCACAGAAAAGCCCCCCGTCTTCCTAGGTATCAGCCACTGTCAGTTTTCCCAGGCTAATTTATTTTCAGCCTCAGTGCTTTCCTTAGTTACACCTATGACTCATCTTGTTAGTCAGTATCGCTGTTCCTTTGTCCTCCCCCTCCTAGTTTTCATATTATTTCTCATTTCCATCATTCTTTGCTCTAACTCTCTGAGCTACTACTCATTGGATTAAATCCAGTCACATTGAATCAGCAAATCTTTATTGATTTGTGTGCAAGAGATTGTACTGATCACCGTGAGGACAACTACTGTTTTGCCTGTCAAGGCTCTACAGTACATCTGCATCCCCAAACAGCTCTGATCACAGCACAAATTAACCACGTTTGAAACTGTGAGGGGTGGGGTGTAATTACTGCAGCATCTATAAATCAAATCACAACACTGCCAGTGAGGTCTGAAGGGACTGCAGTCTGTATCGATGAGACGACATTCCAGAATGCCATTTATCTCATAGGGTTAGCTTCTCCACACTTTGGAGGATAAAGAAAACAACAACAAAAAAGACACGTCAGATCATCTGAATTGTCCAGGTACAGTCACTGATATAATATAATCTGGAAATATAGATAAATTAACTTTTCAGAAGAAAAGAGAAAAACAAAGATAAACATGCCTTTACCATTTCTTTGAAATAGTTCCCTCAAGTGAGGTATTTTCAGTCGCTGTAAGAAAAGAGGGGAGATTGCATTTTAATCATATTAGAGCTTGTTTACCTTCAGTAAAGCAAGCTTCCGGTTTAAGGTCTTCCTCAGGTTCAGTTTCAGCTTGTTCACCTTCTCGGGGTGGAGCAACATCAACTGTGCTTCCTTCAGATGAGCTGGTTGCATTTAATTTCTAGAAACAAAACCCCATTGCAAATTGTGATTTTTTTTCTCCCCTTTTATTCAGCAAATTTGGAAACTCTTTGTCATTGTGTGAAAAAATGATAGTGATCACATTTGACACTATTAACATTGCTGATAAATTATGTACTAATAATTTAACATAATTCAAGTCCTAATATTTAAAACAATGTAATAACTACTGACCTGATTCAGACAGAAAAAGATTAGACCGCATTCAATGTGGGTGATTTGGAAAGGATGAATTGTACTGGTTAATTTGTTTTATGATCTTTATTTATATATGGATGCCATATGAAATAGTTTAAAAATTAATTCTCAGGCCAAATCAAGAATAGTTTGGTAAAAGTTTGGTATGCTGACATTCACTACTGATTATATTAAAATGCATCAAATTAAATTGTAATTTCCACTTCTTACGATGGAATTTTTCAGAGCAAAGACCATTACCAGTTGATTCTAACTACTGTCCATGTTTCTGTAATTTTAGAAAGGAAGAACAGCACATTAACTTTAGTCACAGTCATTATATTTCAACTTTGAGCTATATTTTTCCTCTGGCTTACATAATCTTCTTACTTTACTAGCAGAAAAATGATGGATCTCTCTCTCTGTCTCTCTTTTTGAACTGCTTAAATGAATTCAATACTTGCCAAAGAATTCTAAATGAAATGGAAATTTCTTCATATATCGCACTGGGCAGAATCTGTATAGACTTTTATTAGGAGCACATGCTGAATTCAACATAGTTATCAGGCTGTGAATTTTTCCTTTAAATAAATCATTGTGACAGGTCACATGTTTAGGAAGAGCCACTTTAATGTTACAAGAATAAATATATAAGTACTTTGAGATCACTTGGGAAGACATTATGGATTTGCAGTATTTTATGAAAATGGATGCAAAGACATGACGTACAACACAGCCTGACCAATGTAAAGCTTTTAGGATAAAAAAACAGCACATGGACATGGTAATGGTTTCTAAGCCCCCTTAACTTTAGTAGCTAAGTGGTAGGGGTCACTCTGCCCTAGCCTTCTGAAAGAGTTAATGTGTTGCTGAAAAATCCCCAAATGACTCCCTAAACATTGGTCATATTGGAGGAAATTTGGCTCAAGATTCCTGATTTACTGAAATCATATGCAAATGTAGTTTAATATTTTATAATGTGAACTAATTGAAAGTACTATCCAGATGATATTTTCTGTGATGTTACTTTGAAGGTGAGCTTAATCATGTCCAACTAAGCATATTATGAAAATTAAATATATTATGAAAAAATACTCTTAAGTCAAAATATAATTCTATAATAAAATACTCCTAGTCTGGAGTATGCTACTAAGAGAAGTTAGGCCATCATTTTTGGCTGATGGTTCTTAGGATCATTATAGTGCAAGAGTTTTACCATTAAATTCCTCTACTTTTTGGAGAGGTGAGAAAGGCCAAGACATACTTCCCCCAGGATTTTTCTGGTTCTTATAATCAGAATATCTTTATTCTTTTAAGAAAAGCCCAGGAAAGCTACCACTGGATAGAACTGTGACAGCTTCTGATATAATGAAGAAAAAACTGAATAGCTGTTTGAACTCAGCAATTAACTCTTCCTTTCCAATTTCACTGGTGGTTGATAGGTTGAACACTATGGCATTTGATAAGTGGCAGCAATAATGTCCACTGCATAAATAAATCCAGTAAGAAACCAAATTATTTTGAGGTTAGTTATAAAAAGTTTCATATTTTCTTCTTCCTGTTGGTCAAACCAAGTTGGATAATTTCTTCTGAGCCTAGTCACGGTCCACCTCCTCCATGAAGCCTTTCTTTCTTGCATGATTTCTCCATGCTAAATTTTATAGAATGTTAGGCCATTATACTTGTTTTGTTTGATCAGATATTCTCATGAGTATTTATAAATTATATATGTACATAAAATTATACATAGGTATAAATTATATATGTACATAAACATAAACATATATACCAAAAATACACACACACATACAAATGCCAAAAGACCCAAGTACAGAATAGACACTAGTTATATCAAATTTATAGAGAGCCAATAAATGATTGATTGCATTTTTGAATTACTTTTATAGAGAGAATTATAATGTTTAGATAATTTCATCTCTCTACTTTGTTGTATAACTCAATAATGGCCTTGACAGAAGTTTATTTAGTTGTATTAGAAAATACATTTTTAATGAATAGGAATTATTTAGTTAATAATATTTTAGCGATAAAAACACATGGTATTTCCAAAATGTTTTTCTAAAATATTGGCAGACATTCAATAAAGAAATACGGGGGAAGAAAATAATCGGTATATGTGTATATACACACAAATAAATGTATACTTTTCCATTTGAAAACTCTAGAAAACATGCTGTTCTCATTTTACCACTGTTAATATAATGTGAAATGTTCAATTTTTTGTGTTATAGTTGTCTGCCATATAGTCTACAGGTGTCTTATATTTAAATACAAATACTTAAACCCAAATGGCACAAGTGATAGTAGCCACTAATCTGAATGACAACTGAATCTACTCTACCAAGTACTGACCTCTGGATGTATTTTTGTTATTAGTACTGTCTTTAGATATAAATATTTTTGTGAATGTGGTTAACATGTTTGGATATAAATACTTTCAATTTTCTAAATAGCTATGGAGGTTATGTATTTATATATTGTAAAGATTGTAAAGTAGAGGGTCAGTAGTGAGTTTGTTTGCCTCTGTCTGCATGGTATTATGAGGCATAACATGTGTTGTTAACAGACACCCCCACCCCCTGCCAAAACTCCACACGTATTCTGCTCTTTCAAATGAGCAGAACCCATTTTACATGGAGAATTGCTTCACTGTTATTCAGGAGTTTTTCTGATAATAGGGATAAGCTTTTTTTAAACTTATACTCTGGAAAGCTTCTTAAGGAATGTTCAGAGTCTTTTAGACCCTCATGCACCAAAGCTTAAAAGATAGTTGGTAGGCTAGGGTTCATTTCACTAAGAAGTGTTTTGTGGGGGGCTCCTTTCCCTATGGAGGTTGACATAAAGTTAATTCTTCTTAACTTGGAGAATCAGGCTCATTCATGTTGTAACCTTCATAGGCCACATTTTTTTTTTGTCATAGGAAAGTACATACATTTTATTCTATGAAGTTACAAAAATCTTGCGTCAACCACATAAAATTTCAAAAGTCGTGAATTCATTTACATTTTTATAAAGTAAAGCTTAGAGTGTGTTCTTATTAATGTATAACAGTTTACCAATTATGATATACTGCTTGATAAGCTTTAGTCATAGAATATGTAAAGAATTTTACTACTGTCTTTTTAAATAATTAGTTTCTGCCCTAGAAACTACTTAAACATTTAAAATCCTGTGTGTTGATATAATACCATCTATGTAATCTAAACATTACCTAATTAATTTCAATTCTTTGGCAGTCATACTCTGGTAGAGTATAATTTGTGATACATCTTATCATAGCCATACCAAAATGACTTCCAAATTTATTAAAAGCATGTAACTGACTTAAAAGCAAGTGACTGACGATAAATACAAAGAATAACTTACTTTCTTTATATTGCCATAGCTGTGATACAACAATGGTATAAAAAAAAAAAGCAAAGAAACCTGAAATGAGATTTTCCATATTAAGGAACTCAATACTATACTAAATAACTAAATTAATACTTGTTCAGAAGTAGTTAGAAAAATATAATTAGTTATATAGGCATAACTATAGAAAGCTTCCATATAAAACTGTATAGTACAAGTTCAAACTTGTGTTCTTGTACTATTTTCTCCTTACCCCTCCAATATTTTATGGCACTTAAGGTTTGATTCTTCCATCCCTTGTAGAAAGTACTGAGTCTACAGAGGGATGATGGCTTATGCTCTACAAATGCACACTGGAAAGCAGGTTTTAAGATGCAACATTCTCCAGGCCTAATTCAGCCACAGAAAACATGCCTGGCTATAGCAGAAGCCTGGCGCAATACTGTGGAAGCCGCACGCTTATCCAAGAACCATGTTCTCAAAGACATGGTACCTGAATATGAAGTTTTCAAGAAGATTAACTGCAAATACCATTCATAAGAAATGACAGAATCAGCACCCATAAAGGCCATGAGACCATTTTCCCCTCTAATAACATGAACTTACATAGAAATTCCCCTTTGTGATGAATATTGCTCTTGATTTTTTATCCAATTAAAGAATGAAATTTAACTTTCAGAGATAGAAGAGAATGTTAGCAACTGGCCTACTTCCACTGAAATGCGCTTACATTTCATTTATTTTCAATCAGCTATCAAATGTTTGACTCTCACAAATTGCTGTATGATTCAAGAGGCAAAAATAAAAGATTCAGCCATTACAGATTGCCTTTAAAATCTAGCCATTTCTCTCACAACTTCTGAGTTTTGTTTTACAAGTAGAGGAGGAAAATCTTTTGGTCACACATACTATCAGGGCCTTAGTCTGATCTTTTGGATATGCATATCCATATCTTGACATGATATTTCACTTAAAGAACAGGTAGCCACACCAGGAGGCCATTGGGCTGCTTGTCCAAGGCAGGAAGAACAAGATTAAAACCAATAGCTCTCTTTTCTAGACCACTTATTGAATGGTTCAAAGTATAAACCACCTGTATGTGGTTTTGCCTCAACATATTTTAAATGTGCAACAGCCCTGGTGCTTCTTTAATTTTAAAAAATGGCCTTAATAACAACACGATTTTTGAAAGTGCAAATAATTGTGTGGTAGTTGAAGAGTAAGGTAAAAGGGCATCAAGAAGCCAAAAGAAAAAGCTGGTTTATCTTGAGAAGATAAAATTTCCATCTAAACTAGCCTTAATTAGGTTTTATTTCAACAGAAGTACATGAAAGCACCAAAACCGTTCTCTGAAGGTCAAGATGGGTTTAAAATGGTATTCACATACTCATCTGTGCCTCTGGAAGAGTTGACTCACATTCAGTTTCACAG